TCGTATAACTTCGTATAATGGATGCTATACGAAGTTATTACGCACTTTGCATGGATACAACCCTCCGAGGAAGCCAGGAAAAAAGTGGCTCCTGTGCCCATGAGCTGACATCCCAGAGAGACTTTCCACCATGGGGAGCAGGAATAGGGAGACCCCCTGATCTTGCAGGGCAGGCCATAAAAGAGAGGTTGTGGGGGTGCAGAGGATGGCAGAGGAGGGGGGAGGGGCTGGATATTTTCTTTTAGGGTTTAGAATAATAAGCTGAAAGTGGGTACCATGGTTCAAAATTCTCTCTGCGCCCCCCACCCCGCACCCCCAGTGCCCAGCACAAGAGCTGGCTTGTAAGTTAATAAATATGTGCTGAATGAACAGTGCGCCACCGGGCCGGCCCGTGAATGAGACCTTTGAGATGAGTTAGACCATTGATTATAAACTCAGATGCCTACTGAGGTCAGGTAGCTGTTTGCAGTGTGGGAGGGGGCTGGGGACACAGCTGGGTGTAGGAGAGTGGTGGGGCTGTGCCAAGCAATGATGGCGGCTGCTCTGCCATCACTGTGACCTCAACAGCAGGCCTCTGGTGGCTGTTTACCATGTGCCAGGTGCTTTTCTAGGTGCTTGTATTATTTCAGTTAAGCTTAATCATGATAATTTAAAAAATTCAAAAGGCATGGAATACGAAACAAATGAAACCATGAAATAAATGCCTTGAGAGATGGGCTGCTTTCACGTGGCCTTTTATCCTTGCACTCTGCTCACGTTGAACTTTCCCACCCCATTCTCATTGCTGCAGAGTTCATGTTCCCCTCTGTTTCCCATTGTTCTTTTTTTTTTTTTTTGTCTTTTATCTTTTTTCCGTGTCCGGCAACGGATCGCAACCCTNGCTCACTCTGGAATTTCCTCTGTTCTTTGTGACTCCTGCCGATAGTGGGAGTAGAAAGGATCGCTGTGTGCTGCAAACATGGGCCTTTTCATTTCTTTTCTGTTTCTTTGTGTGTGTGTGTCAAATTCACGTAGCCTGTGAGACTTTTCTGGGCCTCAGTTGATTCGTATGGGTTCCAATAGTAAATTCCCTCGGTTCCTTTTGCCTTCCCGGCAGCAGTGTAGGAAGGGTTCATGAGTTAATGCTGAGAAGGAGCTCTCGTACCCTGAACACAGCTACTGCTTTCTTTTGCTGGAGTTCCAGCAAGCAAGGAAGGACGGCAATTATGTTGTTTTCCCACTCCCTGTGAGGTGTCCCTTTGTTCTCAGAATAAGTTGAGAAGTGTTGATTACCTCTTGAGAAGCTGGGATAGGCAATGTATTTATTTTAATTATACTGTAATATCAAAATACCCTGGTCTTTCCTACAAACAGTTCTCAGGCTTATAAGCGTGAAATGGACTGACTTCATTGTCTGACATTTGCATGCTGCAGAGCTTCCTGGTTAGGATGCACCAGGAAGTCCCATACCAGGAGAGCCTTGCTGCTCAGGTGAGATGGACACTGTGTAACAGAGGTGGCTGGTGCACGGCTGTGGCGGGATGCCAGGTGTGCTGTTAGAACTCTCCTGAAACTCTCAAGAAGTTAGCACTTTCCTGAAGCTTTTCAGGCATCCCTTTTTATTTGACACTTTTTGGGGGCAGGGGATCATATTTATTTAAGATGTCTGAATTCAAAATTTAATAAGAATGGGAGCATATAGTGAATTGGTCAAATACCTCAACATTTATTAAATAATAAAGGGAAGGAGTGTGACCTTAAAGACCTGGCACTGAGCTCTGACACTGCCTGCTCCTGATGGGGAGACCTGGGGCAGCTTAGCCTGAGTCTGTTTTGTCATTTGAGTGTTGGCTCAGTTGGCTCCTGATGGGGAGACCTGGGGCAGCTTAGCCTGAGTCTGTTTTGTCATTTGAGTGTTGGCTGGTTGGCTCAGTTGATTAGAGCGCAGTGTGGTAACACCAAGGTGGGGGTACAGATCCCCATACCAGACAGCCGCCTAAAACAAAATCAGTTTTGTTGTTTTGAGGAGACTATAAAAAACACTGTGTAAAGTCCTATATATACAGCTTAATGCATAGGACTTCGGATATCATAACATATTAAAATTTAGTAGTAATAGGATGAGCTAGCTTCATAAGTTTTTCTAGGTGATTCTATTCAATTGACTTGTTTTTATATTTTTAGTGGCCATTTGAGAGTCACAGAAGTGGGAGCCATTTGGTGAGATAACAGACTTTTACAACCTCTCTGTTTCCCCTCCTTTCTCGGAAGAAAGAGGGAAGAGAAACAGTCTATAGGTTTAGTTCATCCACCTAAAGTGCGAATGGGTCACATTGTAGGTGATTTGAAGTCCATATTAATCTAGCCCAGGGTTCTCAACCTTAGTACTATTGTCATTTTGTTTGGGGACGAGGGGACGGGGGGCTGTCCTGTACACTGTAGGATAGTTAGCAGCAATCCTGGCCTCTATCCCCTAGATGCCAGTAGCACTATCCCCTAGGTTGTGACAACCCAAAATATCACCATATGTTGCCAGATGCCCTCAGAGGCGCAAAACCCTGCCTCCCTCCTTAGCCCCCTAGTAAAACTACTGGGCTAGACATGACCTCCCTTGAAAGGCCAGGGACAGCTGTGAGCCTTGTCCTTTGATGGTTTATTGTGATAGTTTTATTTGAAGCTTTTGGTCTAAAAATACATGTGGAATGATGAAAGGGAAATATATAATGTGGCTAAAAAAAAATCTTTAAGAGATTGGCAAGCTCTAGCAGACAAAATTATTTCAAAATAATTTTAACTTGGTATACATTTTTTCTTACCACAACAAAGAAAGGGGATCGGCTAAAGGTCGTTCTGATAGAGACCCCTTGATTCTTCCACCCCACTGTTTTCCCAGTATGTACGTTGCCCGGCCAGTTCACTTTGCATGGATACAACCCTCCGAGGAAGCCAGGAAAAAAGTGGCTCCTGTGCCCATGAGCTGACATCCCAGAGAGACTTTCCACCATGGGCGAGCAGGAATAGGGAGACCCCCTGATCTTGCAGGGCAGGCCATAAAAGAGAGGTTGTGGGGGGTGCAGAGGATGGCAGAGGAGGGGGGAGGGGCTGGATATTTTCTTTTAGGGTTTAGAATAATAAGCTGAAAGTGGGTACCATGGTTCAAATAAACAAGGGGAGGACCATGTTTGTCTCATTCTCTCTGCTCCCCCCACCCCCACCCCCCAGTGCCCGGCACAAGAGCTGGCTTGTAAGTTAATAAATATGTGCTGAACGAATGAATGAGACCTTTTTTTTTTTTTGTCTTTTGTCTTTTTTCCGTGTCCGGCAACGGATCACAACCCTCAGT